CCTTATTTAACTAATCAGCCTTATTTAACTAATCAGCCTTATTTAACTATTCAACCTTAGTTAACTAATCATGGTTAGTTAACACAAGCGTGGTTATGACTCGGGGTTCAGGTTGTGTGTGGCTAAGCATCATCTCCAACATGAAGTCATGAATTCAGGGTGTTCATTTCTCTGGCATCAACTCTTCCTCAGGACTGTGAACCCAAACTGTTTAAATAAAGATAAAAAATATTCTATTTTATTCTGGACATTAAATAAAGCCCGGGGGGGGGGGGGGGGGGTTTGTCTTCATTAAAGCCACATTGTTCTGTTTTCAGTGTGCTCTGTGTGGGGCTCAAGTGTTTCTTGCCTCACAGTTCCTCGGCACCGATGATCAGCAGCAGCTGAGGCCTCCAGTTAACGAGCTCCGGAGGTTCTTGAGGAGGAACAAACATTTGAAGGCTCAGTCGTCCAGGTAGATGACAACAAAAAGGTTAAATCATTTCATCTGTAAAGAAACTAGTCCAGATGAAATGATTGAACCTTTTTGTTCTTGAGGAGGATTCAGTGTTCTTCTGATGCTGGAACATTATGTACCAATCAGCAGGGACAGGCTCGCTGTTCGTTTGAGTATTTGAATCATATGTATCTTCACCCCTCTGTATATTAGCTCTCATTTCCCTGAGGGTCTGGCCCTGGACCTACCTAGTGTTCCCAAAGTAAAGACTGGACCTATAGGAACCTGTTGTCACCTGCCTGCCTTCTTACCTGGGACCCTCCATCTCCTCTCTGGGCTGACAATCCTGAAGGAAACTAAGAAAAACATCTGGATTGCTACGTGTCCTCCTTTCAGCTCGTTACGAGCCTCCTGTTTGTATTTCACCTGTAAATAAAGCTCAGTGTGTCAGCTCCCTGCAGCATCATCTAGCACCAACAGCAGCACCTGAGGATCATCGGCTTGATGAGCGACAGGAGCATGAAAGAATACAGAGGACTTCCAGTCAGCGCTGGAGCATTACCTGCCAATGGTAGTTGTGTTTCTGGTCCTTTGACTGAACTATAGATTAACCTTGTGTTCCTTTGTGCTTTCAGCATTATCTCCGTCATCCTCCTGTTTCCTGGATTTCCCTCTGCAGACCTCGAGCTCTCCTGTGCCTCATCAGCTGCCTCCTCTTGCCCGCCTGGAACAATTGGGTCGCCCATCACCACGGCTGACTCCAATCTCTACCATAAGAGCAGCAGAAACATTATCACCCCTGCTGATACATCATTAACCCTTCTCCTTACTCCTCAGTGTTCCAGCTCCTCCCTCGTACATTTGATGACACTCCTCACCTTGTAAAGAACCGTAAACCTTAATATCTGTTCACTTCAGTCCTGAGTGTAGCTGCAAGCGTTATATTCACTCACCTCATGAGTTGTACGAGTCGTGTTCTCTGTCCTGTTCTCAGTCCTGTTCTCAGTCCTGTTCTCAGTCTTGTTCTCTGTCCTATTCTCAGTCCTGTTCTCTGTCCTGTTCTCAGTCTTGTTCTCAGTCCTGTTCTCAGTCCTGTTCTCAGTCCTGTTCTCAGTCCTGTTCTCAGTCCTGTTCTC